TCACAAGTTTAAAGCCAGCCCCAGCAATTTAGCAAGGCGCTACTCAACTCAATGAGACTCTGTCTCTAATAAAAAATACAAAATAGGGCTACGGATGTGGCTCAGTGGTCTAGTGCCCCGAAGTTCAATCCCCAGAATCCCTTCCCACAACAACAAAAAAACAAGTATGCTAGGAGCCAGGCACCTACCCATAATCCTAGTGACTGTGGAGGCCCAGACAAGGGGATTCCAAATTCTAGGCCATCCTCAGCAATATAGCAAGGCCCTTAATAACTTAGCAAGGCTATCTCAAAATAAAAAAAAAGAAGCTGGGGATATAGTTCAGTGGTAAAGCACTCCTGGGTTAAATTCTCGGTACTAAGCAGGGAAAGAAAGTATGCTAGGAAAAGAAAGGAGTTATAAATCTTCCATATAATTATGGAGGAAAAAATTCCATTTCAAAGTCAATTATAAATTACTTCAGGATCATCTGCTATTTATTTTCCTGACCTATAAAAATGATATCATAATCTTAATGCTGAAAATGTACCTGAAGTTAAAAAAAGAAATTAAACAATGAATTATTCAACAACTTTTCCAAAAACTGCAAACAAGTAAATAAATCCAACATGTTAGTGTTAGTTTACTACTAAGAAAAAAGAAATAAGATCTAAAAGCCCCACTTCCCCTCCACACATAGAAATCTACCTAAAGACTGTCTTTAATGCCCACTATATAAATAACGTTAAAAAGTCTAAGTTATAAAATAATGTTAATGGTTTTATTGGTAAAAATCCAAACTCTAAATTAGTAGTTTGTTTGGTATATTAACACACCATCTTAATTTTTGCTAATATTACAAAGAAAGAGGAAAGCTAGAAATATCTATAAAAATAAAGTACCTTAAACCAACATTGAAGCAAAATGTAAAGGTTGCACAAATTGCCAATAAATATAATCATCACAATAGAAAAATTAATCTTAAAAAAATAAACTCATAATTGCTATTAAGACATTATAAAAATGAAAAAGTTTAATGTGCATGTATATTTGCAAAGACACAATACACTCCAAATGGTCAGTGTTATTTTACTGTCATTACATAATGCAGCATATAAAGTTACTGAGGTGTGTATTTATGTTTATTTTTAGTCTGCTTATTTTATGGAGGAATGCTCACCAAATTCACCAGAACTTGTTAAGTAATAATTTACTGCTGTTTACTGCTTCTTAATACAGGGGAAAATTGGTTTCTGTTAGATTACCAGATTTCTAGTAAGTATAAATGGTCCTTCTATTTTCCTTTCTTTTGCTTATCTCCTCCAAAGCCCCAATTTGCACATGTGTGAATACACATACAGTGTGTGTGTGTGTTTGTGTGTGTGTGTGTGTATTTTTTTCCTTTTTACAGTGCCCGGGAGAATGTACCCAGGGACTCAAGCATGCTCAATATGCATTCTACAAATGAGTTCTACCACTGACCTATATCCCCAGTCCCATGTTCTATTTTTAAATAACTTATCATCATGTCCTTTTAAATGTACTGTAGTCATTTTTCATGGTTCCCCCACCTTAGGTGCAGTGGGGTGGAGAGAAAGAATTTTTAGTGCAGAGCTGGGATGTAGCTCAGTGGCAAAGCACTTGCCTAGCATATTCAAGATCCTGAGTTCAAACCCCAGTACCACAAACAAACCAACAACAACAACAACAACAACAAAAACCCCAAAACCCACATACACAAAAAAACCCCACAAAAAACAAAAACAACAAAAACAAAACAAAAAACCCAAACCCAAACAAACAAAGCCAAAAAACAAAACAAACATCCACTTCAGTGTCAAAAAAAAAAAAAGAAAATTTCCCTAGAGACATAATCATTTTGCTTGCTTTCTTAAACTGATCTCAATGATGACTTAGCTCTCCCTGTATAAGCATTCTTCCTTAATAATGATAATTAGAAAAGGTTACAGCTAGCAATCTATGCTGAAAAAAATGGAAAGATAGCCTATGACATATAATTCCCGGCAGGGTTCTTTTCCTTAGGATATTTGCTACAATACTCATCGTCTTAGTAAGAAGTTAAGTAGATGTGCTGTTTTATATGCATTATAGGTTACCTTAAACACAGGTGAGAATTAAAAGGGTTAATCTGTTAAAATTTTTGTTTTCAAATTTACATGATAAATTTAGTGAGCATTTACCTACATATTTTTCTGCATAAAAGCATTCCTTGTTCCCATGACCAGATTTAGGACAATGAATAACATTATTTATATGAAACTGTCATACTCTTGAAGTTCTAAAATAATTTGTCTTCCAAATTTTTAGTGTCATGAGAACTGAAAAATAAAATTCTACAGCACCATCTTCAGAAAAGGCACTTTCTAAGAACCGCCTTGTTTTAAAAAATGATTTAAAAATTCAATTCAGAGTCTACTAAAGAATATCTTTGCTTTACTGAGACTATAACATAGCTATATTAGATTTTGGTTACCTCAGACATTGGTTTCAAAAAGGAAGGGAGCCCAATAGGGTAGGGTTTGTCATGGGTAAATTTCAACCCTCCATATTAAATTTATTATTTTTCTATCTTTAATTCAAATAAAAATTGTTAACAAAAAGATCTTGGAGATTTAAACAACAGTGTAAAAATTTAGAGCACTGTTTTTGATGGGTAAAGGAAAAAATTTTAAGCTAGCAGCAGATAATAGTAGAATAAGCCTTGACTATTAAAAATGAAATACTGTAAATTATAAATTTAAATGTACCATTTTTAAAAGTAGGAAAAAAGTAAAAATATTTTTCCCTTTATGAGATCTATCTCTTTCACTCTCCCCAGCCCTATCCCCTTTCTGGGACTTAACTTTTCATTCATTAATCACAGTACCATTTCTAATATTGTCACTGAACAAGAATGTTCCCAGTATAAACAGAAATTTTAAAAATCCCCTTTAATTTTTTTTGAAAATTATATGAATTCTGTAATGATTTTTACAATCTATGCTTGGCCTAATTTTTGATTTCTATAGCTCACAAAGGCGCTTTATAAGATCAAATGAGAGGGAAATAGCAAAACAAAGACACACCCTAAATCAGGGTGACACCACCTCACTTGATATAAAGTTCCCAAATTATTACTATTGAAGCTTTTATATATCCACAAATTCTCAAAAAGAACTAACAATCTGTATGGATAAAAAAGCTGAAATAGGGGCTGGGGATGTGGCTCAAGCGGTAGCGCGCTCGCCTGGCATGCGTGTGACCCGGGTTGGATCCTCAGCACCACATACCAACAAAGATGTTGTGTCCGCCTAGAACTAAAAAATAAATATTAAAAAATTCTCTCTCTCTCTCTCTCCCTTCTCTCATTCTCTTAAAAAAAATATCTGTTATTCTTATTAAAAAAAAAAAAAAAAAAGCTGAAATAGCGTGGTGGTGCACCTACCACGGGTGTAATCCCAGCAGCTCGGGAGGCTGAGACAGGAGGATCAAGAGTTCAAAGCCAACCTCAGCAATGGTGAGGTGCTAAGTAAGCAACTCAGTGAGATCCTGTCTCTAAATAAAATACAAAATAGGGCTGGGGATGTGGCTCAGTGGTCAAGTGCCCCTGAGTTTAATCCCCAGTATTCCCCTCCCCATGAAAAAAAAAAAAAGCTGAAATAAAGATGCTGGACTAATTATTTCTTTTTGCAGCTTGATGAGCTCATATAATTTAAGTGGCAAGGTACTGTTAAGGGCAGTCTTTTTTTTCTTCATTAGGAGAAAATCTAAGAGGATGATTTAGGTAAACATTTAACTCAGATTTAATGACACAATGAAAATTATGCAGAGTTGTCAGTTATATTATCAAGTTTCCGATAGGAAGACTACAAAATGTTCTAGCCATGTCCAAACGGCTATTGAATTTCATAAAAATCACTGCCCTCCACAAAGTCATGAGCCTCTGAAAAGATCCACCCATTTCTTGATGTCTATTCTGGAATTCAGATTTACTATTGGCAAAGAGTGCTTGCTCACTTCTTTCTCTGATGCTGGGATCCTCTGCCAGCCCTTTCTACAAAGTAGTATCTCAGCTTTTATTTCCCTAAGCATATGATAAGTCTTGTCATGATTCCCAATCAGTCATGTTTGTCATCCTGAAATCCATCAGAGAAGATACAAGTCAACATTAGGTCACGGTGGATCACAAAGGATCTAGTTTGGAAAACTCCCATTGGTCTAGAAGACTGGATACAGATGAATCTTTGTTGAGGGGCCTTCCCAAACACCCAGTCCATGCCCACTAGAATTTATTCTACACTCTCTTCTAAGCAGAGAAATAAATTAATAGGTTATAAATAAGAATATTTTCATGGAACTTGTTATATAGTTTTTCCAAGAAACTTATTAAAAGGTAACTATTAAAAAAGGGCATCTGTATTTCTGTGAAAATGTGCCAAAAACCAGTACTGAGGAGGCTGAGGTACCCTTTTTCAAAGTATAAAAGTAAAAATCTATGTGTCTAAAACAGGGATATTCTAATAATAAATTGAAACTAAAATGGCAGCACCCTGTGTTACCTTGATATCTCATGTCCTCAAATCTTAGAAAAACAACAAAAAGGATTTAACAGTAGCCTTGAATCCTGCTCATCTCCTTATTGTTTAGTGCAGTAAATGTTGACTGGAATAAATATAGCAGCTACAGTATTATAAATGTGTGGTCCTCAATGCCAGTAATGTGATACTGTAATATAATAACATACATAGGGCACTTTACATAGACAACTTTACCATCAATAATATATATTAAATTTCTAACTATTCTGTTTTTTGTTTGTGGTACTGGGATTGAGCCTAGGGCCTTGCACATGCTCAGCAAGTACTGTACCACTGAGTCCAAACTCATAATTCTTCACATAAAATCATTATATCAGTTTCTGTGACTGACATTTTAAAGTCACTCTCATGAGATACAAAACAGAAAACAGCAGATCAAAATCAACATTCATCATAGAGTTAAAGAATAAGTGCAAGGGTAGAAACGTCACTGTGAGTTTCATGTTTTTTTTTTTTTTTAAACAGAAAAGATTAGGAATTCTATCCAGAGTGCAAAAATAACTAGAACAGTTTTCAAGAGGTGACTGCCACTTAGTCTTATATCTTAAAATTCAAAGCACAGGTTTCTTATAATTAAGTTTGGTATACCAACTTATTAGTAAGCAAAATAGAAATTTACTAGACATATTCTTCCAAGTTAAGAATCTTAAACCAGCAATGCTGAATAATTTAAGAGCACTCTAAAAAATAAATCATTCAAAAGGTAAAACTTTATATTTTAGAAAAAATATTTCTCCTCTTAAAAAAGTCCTTCCAAATAGATTTAAATTAAGGGCTTCACTTTAGCCAATGTGAGCCTAAGTAACTGAAAATTAGGTAAAGTAGTAAACAGGGACATGGTATCCACAGTTGCTCCCTAAAGTCTCTCACATGAATATGTACAGATGCCACAGACAAAGGAAGATGGTTTTATTTATATTAAGCAAGCATAAACCAAGTTTTTACATTTAGGATATACTATTTTCTTTTCTTTCCTATGTTCTTGACTATATTCATGAAACTTCAATATAAAAAAACAGCCAGGTGTGGTGCATACCTGTAGTCCCAGCTACTGGGAAGGCTCAGGTGGGAGGATTACATGAGCCTCTGGGTTTGAAACCAGTCTGGGCCACACAGTGAGACCCTGTCTCAAGAAACAAACCAAGACAAAACAAAAATTAAACAAACAAAAAACCCAAACACATTTTAAAAGAATTTTTTTGGAGAAGATGAGAGAAGGCTTGAAGAAAAAAAATGTATATACTATACAAATATTATCTTATGTAAAGTGCTTTGAAACAGTGTTGTAAATTGCATTTCAGATACTTCAAAATAATAATCATACAAAATACAGTACTTTTTTAGTTTTCTGGCAAAGGGACAAAAGACTTCATGCCTGTTGGAGGACATGGGCTCAGATTTTAGGCTCAAAATACAGTAAATTGGCAATAATAGTGGATTACAGGTGTGAGAAAAACTAAAGGTCTAAATCCATTAGTTTTCATATGCAGATGGAATTCTGAAAGGCTAACACCAATGCCCACTGGAAATGATCTGTAATACCTATACTTTGAACCAGTGTTAAAAAACAAAACAAAACAAAAAACCCTCAAATGCAATTTTTATGAGTTACAAAGTGCAAAGCTCCCCTGACTCCAATATTACTGATAAACTTGGTTTTGAAAGATTAATAGTACTTTTTAAGTATCTTAAAGTGAAATCAATAAAACAAAAGTTCCGTAAAAAGTTTTCCTCACATTTCAGTATTTTAACTCATTAAAATGATCAATGTCTTAAATTCCTTTGTCACCATCACCTTAATTATGAAAAGAAAGTTACACTAGTGATAAATCAGCAGACAAATCTTTTAAAAATACCATTCTGTATATTCCTGATTCATTTTAGTAAGTAAAATGGGTACTTTGCCCGTATGATTCTTCAACAAACATGATCTATTTTCAAATAATTTAAAAATCTTTTAAATCTTAAGCTCTTCACTAAATCAAAGTTCAACTTTATTTCTGATATTCAAGGTCAGACTCATTTCAATAATTTTACTTCCTTCGTTTTCATTATAAATTTTAAAAGACATGCATTAAAATTGAAAATTACGAAACTTTCCTTCTGAAATTAAGGCTGGATTACTTTGCCCTTTTAAAATAATGAAGGTGCCTGTTTTTCCTACTATCCATTGTAAAGATGTCAAACAGACACAACTGTCCTTTAAAACTGCTTATTGCACTAAAAGATAGCAAAAACATGTTGTCGGTTCTTAAAATAAGCATGATTATATTTCTATAAAAGATGTTGCCAATACAGTTCTATAATTATTAAAGCACTATTCTAATAAATATAAAAGAAAAGGAAGCTGTACTTCAAAACACATACATATATGTTTATATATACACACATACATATATATAAAAATATATATATATGAAAATCACATTAAGGTATGAGAGGCAGCAAGTAAACTAGCAAAAAACAAAATGCACCCCTCCACAACAATCCCTTCTCTCTCTCTTTCTCTCCCCCCCCCCACAATTTCAGAGGCCTCAACCCTACAGAGTTCCAATCTTTCAAAATATTTACCATTTATAAAAGATTTAAGGGATTTTCATGTGTAACTCATAGAAACAGGAGGTTTTAGAATTACATAACGCTTATCAGAGAGAAAAAGTGACAACTTCTGACAAGGTTTTATATTTATAGCAACTTCAACAAACTCACTAAAGAAAAGGAATCATTTGGGTTGCTACTGCTTATGTACACATTGCACAAATGGCAAATATAAGTTCAGAGCATGAGGGAGAGACACACACTCATACAAAATGCAGTATAAAGAGTTGAGGACTCAGAACTGTGTATGAGATAGAAGACAGGTAATAAGGTGTGCAAAATAAAATAGAAACCTACAATTTGCCATGCTTCACATTCAAATGAATCATTCATATGAACATCTGAATGTCACTGATAGCATTAATGAAAAAAATGTAGAAGAAGGCAAGGAAGGTAGAGAGGAAAATAAAGGTGGTAGTAAGGGAAGAAAAAAAGGGAAAGAAAGCTCCCCATTGGAATGAACTACAAAATATATACACAGACACATATATATCTATTATCTAGATTCAGATATATATGCTTTTGAAATATACATGTATATATTTTAAAAATACACAGACTCCTTTTACAAGAATATATGAACACACATTAATTTTTTTGCACACATAGTTGTGAACAATCATTTTGATTATTCGTATAGGTGTGTGTTTTTAAACCATCATTTACTTTTTCTTTACTTTTTTTTTTTTGCAAAGATAGTTGTGCTGCCAAGCAACTTGAGGTAAAGGCATTAAAAGGGTTAGACTATAAGAAGTGAAAACAAAACAATTGCGATACTTCCTACAGGAGACCGCACAAAAAGCAGCTGGCTGGTTTCATATTGCATAATGGTGCTGCGTTCCTCGATGAAGTAAACAATTTCCTTCTATCAACATAAGAAGCAGACATCCACACAGCACTGGCTTCTGTATGGCTGGAGGTGTCCCTACTCAATCAACTCACTCAAAACATACGTTATGTCGACGCATCTTTCAGTTCTTCCTTGGACTTAAGCAAAGTACATTGTGCGTAAGGTATCTTGGTGAATCTGTACAGCCTTGGCAAGAGCTTGTGGATCTCGCCCATTGCTCTGTCCTGAAACGTGGCTTCCTTCAGCACTATAAGAGAAGTGGCAATGAACATAAAAACAAACCTATTCTGATATAATAATTTTGAAAAATATTACTTTTAGAAAAATTTCAGAAATACTAAAAACTAAAGACTATCTGTAAAAAATAATAAATGCTGTGTCCATCACCCAATTTCAGTAATTAAGCTCAAGCATAATTTTGCTTTACTTCTCTTATTTCCCCAGAATTAGTTAGAAGCAAATCCTAAACATCATTTCATTTTCTCTCTCTCTCTCTCTCTCTCTCTGTGTATGTGTATCACTTTCTTTCCCTTATATTCTCCCCTTACTACCACCTTTATATATACATATCACTTTTATTATTACCAATAATATCTCCCTTGGATTAACACGGTAAATCGACTAAATCACTGTGTAGACAGCATATTTCAATATAAAATCTTATCTTGGGCAATCAATTGGATTATCACTTTTCACATGGCTCACTGATTCTTCTCTGATGGCTTATGGAACTTCAATTCTAAATGGCAGTACCTTATTATAAACAGAGATACTTATACATGGAAGTACTAAAAGACATTTCCTAAGTAAATCAGACCACATTTGGATTTGGGTTAGAATGTATATTTACTATGGTTTTATGTTACCTGTCATGTTCTTTGTCCACAAGATGATATCTGGCTCTGAATGCTACCAGGTGAGCATAATACGCTGGTGCAGGTATAGAAACAGATCGTGTACAGCGTACATAAGTGTGGCAGAGCTGGTAAGTTAGCAGCTGAAGTTCATCTGCAGTAAAGCAGTTATCATCCCATAAAACATGGTAGTGTGAAGGACGGCTGGTACCCTTTGAAGAAGACAAAGGTATATTTTGTTGATTTCTAACCTTTTAAATAAATCTTCAGCAGAGACTATGTTATATAAAAATGATTGGCACATTAATTAGTTAAATGTATTATAATTTAATAATCAACTAAAAATTTTAGTTGATTTTGGATATATACTGAAAAGGAGTGAAAGCAAGGACTCAAATGGATGTTTGTATATCTATGTTCATAGTACATTATCCACAATAACCAAAAAGGGGAAGCTACTCAAGTGTCCATCAGTGGAGAAATGGGTAAATAAAATATATTACATAGATACAACATAACATTATTTAACTTGAAAAAGGAAGAAAATTCAATACATAATACAACATGGATAGACTTGAAGACATGTTCAATGAAATAAACCAGTCATAAAAACAGAAATATTGTATGATTCATTTATATGTGGTACCTAAATTAGTAAAATTAATAGATAGTAGAATGCTGGTTGCTGAAAGCTAGGGGGAAGAAAAAATGAGGGATTTAGTAGTGTAATGTGACAGAGAAAGTGAAAACTTTCTGCAGATATATGATGATGATAATGGTTATCCAACAATGTGAATATACATAATGCCAGAGAACTGTAGGCTTACAAATGGCCAAAATGGTAATTCTAAGTTTAGGTCCATTTTTTTTTTTTTTTTTTTTTGTTACTGAGGATTGAACTCATGGGCACTCAACCACTGAGGCATATCCCCAGCACTTTTTCCTATTTTATTTAGAGACAGGGTCTTACTGAATTGCTTAGTGCCTTGCTAAGTTGCTGAGGCTGGCTTTGAACTCATGATCCTCTGGCCTCGGCCTCCCTTGCAGCTGGAATTACAGGTATGGCTAAGTTTAGGTACATTTTAACATTCACACACACACAAACCATTTAGTTGAGCTCCTGTGTTCCAGTTACTATGTATTCAAAGAAAAACAAGTCAACAAAGTAAACAATTTCTTTTTTTTTGGGAAAACATTACTTATTAGAGTAGGAGATAGAGTATAAACAATTATAAAACAACTAATAAATGGTTATGGTACTACTGGTCATATGTAGTCCTTTATAGGAATACCAAAGAAAGTAAATATAGGGGTAAACATGGGGATGCTTCACTAGATGGGAATGTGTGAGATTTGACACTCCCCGCCCCCCACCCCCAGCTTTTTTTAAGCAGTTAGGGAGAGGAGACATGGAAGAATAAGCAGCCTTTAAAAAAGCTGGGCATGGTGGTACATGTCTATAATCATAGCTACTCAGGAGGGTGAGGCAGTAGGATTTTGAATTCAAGGCCAGTCTCAGCAATTTAGTGAGACTCTGTCTCGAAATAAAAAAAAAAAAGTGTTGGAGCCCACTGGCTTCAATCCCCAATACTGGAGGGGAAAAAAGTACAAGGGGCATAACATTTCATGGCATATTTATAGAATAGCTAATAGACTAGTATGAGCAGAGCACAGGGGATAAGGGGAAAAAGATGAAGTTTCAAATTTAGAATCCAGCTGAAAGACAAGCTAAGGAATTTGGAATTTCACCAATGAGTGGCAGGGAAAGTACTGCAGTTAGGAGAGTTTTTAGGTATAATGAGATGGGCTTGTTTTTCTTTTTAAAATAACAATAACAATAATATGGAGGAAGGATTAGAAATAAGAAGAGGCTGAAAGCACAGCGAGCAGACAGAATGCTGTTGTATTAGTTCTGGTGTGAGACGATGAAGGTATAAAATATGGAAATGGTGTTGGCCATGGGGCAAAAGAGAAAAGCTAGACCACATTTCAACAAAAATATGTGAGTACCATTTGTTATACAATATGCAAGATTTTTTGGGGGGATAAAATTCAAAAATTAACAAATCCTACTTCCTTCAAATGATATGCTTATAATATATATCATATATTCATATATTCAATATTTACTGAACACTATCTGCCACATCCTGTAGCAGGTAGTGAGCATACAGTAATGAATGAGACACACATTAAAGTGATGAGAGACATATAATCATAAATTAAACCATCAGAAATTGGTCTATAAAGAGAATAAAATGTAGGCTGGTATGAAAGACTATCTGAAGGAACTTTAGACTAGGTGATCAGGGAATATTGTCTCTGAGGAAACATAAAAGTGAGCTTTGAATGATTAAGGAGGGCTTGTGAGATCGAGAGAAGAGCATTTTAGGTATATGGAAAAGGAAGGGCAAAGCTTTAGCTACAGTACATGGAAGTCATTCAGTTCTCTCCCATCCCCATTCTAGTCCCAAATACCATTCATTTTTTGCATGGATTATGGTCACTGACTTCTAACTAATGTTCCCAATACTTACTAGTACTTCAGTAAGAGTAATTAAAAAATAACAACAATAATTTTAAAAACCTAACTATGCTAATTTTCTGTTTTTAATGCAATTGGGGAATAGAATCCAAATCCTTATGTTGTAGTTGCTTTTTTGTCACTATGACTAAAAGACCTGACAAGAAGGAAGGAAGGAAGGAAGTTTATTTGGGGCTCACAGTTTCAGAGGTCTCAGATGACCGACTCCATTGCTCTGGGTCCACAGTGAGGCAGAACATCATGCCAGAAGGGCAGGGTGGAGGAAAGCAGCTCAGAACATGGCCACCAGGAAGCAGAGAGAGCTCTGCTCACCAGGGACAACAGTTATTGCCCAGTTAATTCATTAGTGGATCAATGCACAGATTAGACTAAGGCTCCCATAACCCAATCATATTGTCTCTAAACTTCCTTGAATTGTCACACATGAGCTTTTGGGGGATACCCCATGTCTAAATCATAACACCTTATTTTTGTCCAACAGAGCCTATACAGTCCAGCCCAGCCTACCTCTGACCTACTCACATGCAACAATAGTAGTAGTGTCCTTTTTGCTTCCTTCAACAGATAACTGTGTCCACCAAAAGGGCCTGTATATGTGCCTCTGATGGGAATTCTTCCCCCTGTTCTTGGCTTGGGTAACTCCTATTCATTCCTCATGATTTTACCTTAAATGTCATTCCTAGGGAAACCTTATGTCATTTCTCAAACTGAATCACATCCCCACTAAAATCTTTCTTCCTATTCTTCACTTTTTCTGTTTTGCATTTATTCCAATTTGTAAATTCATATTTGTGAGATTCATCAATTAATACATCCCCTAAACTAAAAGAGGAAGGAATGGGGTTTATTTGTTCACTTATTATACCCAGTATCAACACCTATTTCAGGATATATGCAATAAATAACTATTGCTTGAAAAGCCTCTGCCTTTGGGACTTTATAGACTGGAGGGGTGTAGGTGACAAAAACATGGTTACAATGTTATGTAATAAGTCTGACAAAGAGGTAGGCTAGGGTACTGAAACAGTGCAGAGGAGGCACATGTGTCTGGGGGAAGCAGTCAAGAAGGCTTCTGAGAGGAGTTGATGAAATATTTAGATAAGTCTTACAGCACAAGTAGGAATAAGTTAGGGAAGAACATGGGCAAGACATGGTTATGAGAACTAGCTAGAATCATTTCAGAATGGCTGCAATTATGTTATGTATGTGTATTTGTGTATAAAAGAGAGAAGAAACCAGTTAGTTAGAGAGGAAGAAAAAAGAGAAAGAAGGAAGATAAGAGGAAAGAGTGATAGAGACTGAGGGTATAGAAGTGAACAGAGAAGAATACATCAGGAATCGAGTCTTCATGTTGCCCTGAGATGAGATTTCACCTTCAATGCATAAAGATCACTGGTATAGGAAGCCTGTTATCTACATTGTAATTAATCTGATGGAGAAGATGAGGGCATTTAGGATCACTTTGAAACTGTACATGAAAGTAATAATAGGAAATGAAACTAAGCAGGGGAGCTAAGGATAGGGGCTGGGGTTGTGGCTCAGTGGCAGGGTGCTTGCCTCACACATATGAGGCACTGGGTTCAGTCCTCAGCACCACATAAAAATAAATAAATAAAATAAAGATACTGTGTTCATCTATAACTAAAAAGAAAATTTAAAAAAAAAAGGTTAGGGCTTGAGAGAAGATACATTCTACAAGGATTTAGTGATTGATTAGAATAGGGTTGGTGTGTAAACTTACTAAACTTCAAGGTCTAAAAATGAGAAAAGTTGTATTTGTAAGAAGTGATTTCAAAGTCATAAATCCATTAAAGACTAAATTTTATAGGATAGATGGAAGCTGGGTGTAGTGGGGCATGTCTGTAATACTAGTTACTCAGGAGGCTGAGGCAGCATTGCAGCTTGGGCACTTAGGAGGACCCTGTCTCTAAATAAAAACATAGAGCTCTTACCCAGCATGTGCAAAGCCCTGAGTTTAACTGTCGTGTCTCTCTCTCTCTCTCTCTCTCTCTCTCTCTCTCACACACACACACACACACACACACACACAGAAAGAAAGAAAGAAATAAAGAAAAGAGAAAAGAGAGCAGAGATGCAGAAGCAATGTTGATTGCTAATCTAAAGGAGTTGGGGCATATTATCACTGATGGAGCCAAAAAAAGACAATGTTGCCCTTGAGGGTTCTCAGCTCCATGGTGGCTACAAAATGAAGAAAGAACCAGAATGGATTACAGAAAGGCTTGTGCTACCTCACTGCAATTAATGTGTTGAAAGTCAATAATATCAGATGTGTTAGAGCCCTAGAAGGAATAGGGGAAAATGGTATCTGAGCCAGGTCATGATTTCCACTTCTCACAACTGTTGGGACTGGGCTCCAGCCTGTGCTGGATAGGTAGACACTGGAAGAGAGAAACCAAGCTTTGTGTTTTGTTTAATTTTTTAAATTTATTTTTATGTGGTGCTGAGGATCAAACCAAGTGCCTCACATGTGCTAGGCAAGCACTCTACCACTGAGCCACAATCCTAGCACCCTACCCCCTTTTTTTAAAAAATTTTAGGTTTTTGTGGTATTAGGGGTTGAACCCAGGGCCTCATGAATACCAGGCAAGCACTCTACGACTGAGCTACATCCCCAGCACCTAAATTTAAGTTTTAAAAACAAATTGAAATTTTACCTCAAAGGAAACTGGGGACAGAGGGAGTAGGATGGAACTTATCTGTAAACACTAATGATATTAATAACTGAAAGTGTTAATAAGTAAAGAAATTTGGCTAAAATGTCATTAAAGGATCTGTTACTCACTGGTGAAGTTAAAAAGAGTGATTAGGAAAATGTGATTCTTATATGGACAGAAATGTTTGGGATTTTAATTTTACCTAGTAAAAACCAAGACTGGTTTTTTTTTTTTTTTTTTTTGTGTGTGTGTGTGTGTGTGTGAGATTTAATGGTAGACACTTTAAGTTTCAGTTAGATCATTTTAAGTCTTTTTTTCTTTTCAGAAAATCTTTTTATTGATTTGTTCGCTTTTCCTAGTAGAACAAAATCTTTGTCTACCATTAAATATAAGTAGGTCTAACATTAAATCTTAGTAGAACATAATCTATGTCTACCATTAAATCTCACAAAGTTGCCACAGCTGGCCACACATTTGCAAGCCTCCTGCCTCAGCCTCTAGGTATGCACCAACAAGTGTGGCCAAGATTATTATTATTTTTTTTTTGATCTCAGATTAGTTTGAAAATAGTAATAAAGCTGGGAAGATATACAAAGAACAGTGTTTAGTCCCTGTGAACTAGAAAAGAAGTTTCAAATTAGTGTTCCAAAGGAAAAATATTCCCTAAAGTTTCTGGTTAAATATACTGGAGAAATTCCTGTCTTGAAGATTCATAATGACCATGTAAATATCAATGGTCTCTAAAAGTTTTGGAATAAAAAAAAAAACTTGTCAAGCCAGTATTTCTAAAAGGTATATGAGCAGAGAATTTTTTTCCCTCATCTATGATATTTTTTAAAAACCTATAACAGAGCTAGGCACAGTGGTGTATGTACATCTGTAATTCCAGTGGCTCCAGTGGCTGAGATAAGAGGATAGCGAGTTCAAAGCCAGCTTCAGCAATGGCAAGGCACTAAGCAACCCAGTTGAGACCCTGTCTCTAAATAAAATACAAAAATAGGCCTGGACATGTGGCTCAGTGGTTGAGTGCTCCTGAGTTTAATCCCCAGTATCAAAAAAGAAAAAAAAAAAAAAGAAATAAAAGTAGTTAATATAAAGTCAAACATTAGGCTAAAATATGTATTCTAGAGACAAAAGTTTTATCCCTAGAAGGTATTAATTTTTTGCTTATTGACTGTTACCACCCAGCCTGAAAGTATACAAGATTACATAAAGAGGAGGAGATATAAGAACATGGATAAACTGAGCTCAGTGGCACACACCTGTAATCCCAGTTACTTCAGAAGTTGAGCAGGAGGCTCACTAGTGTAAAGTCATCCAGGGCTAAGTACATAGCAAGACCTTGTGTCCAAATAAAATTTTAAAAAGGGCTGGGGCTATTCCTCAGTGGTAAAGTGCTTGCCTAGTATGCATGAGGCCCAGGATTTAATCTTCAAGTACCATAAAAAAAAAAAAAGAACACAGGTAAATGAGTAGGACAATAATTTAAAGCCTGGAGTCTGAAATAGGTTAATATATAGGACATATAAGGCTGTGAGATACAGCTGCACAGTAAGGTACATCTTAAAATTTCTTTCTCTCTTTCTTTTTTTTTTTTTTTAAATCATTCTTACTATCTGAAAGCAAAGCCCCACCTCCCCAACAAACTCTCATTTTAAAACAAATACCTTTATTTATTTATTTATTCATTCATTCTTCTGTGGTGCTGAGGATTGAATCCAATGCCTCACACATGCTACGCAAGGGCTCTACCACTGAGCTACAACTGTAGCCCCACGTCTTGAAATTTCCATTTAATAAATGGGAAGAAACTAAAAATAGTTTTGGGCTATGTTTGCTCAAATATCCTGGTAATGTGGGTTTACTCTCTGCTGTTAAGTTTGAGAAGCAGTGAATTAAAGATTATGTTCTACTAAGAAAAGTGAACAAATTAATGAAAAGATTTTCTGAAGAGAAAAAAAGACTTAAAATGATCTAACTGAAACTTAAAGTATCTACCATTAAACTTTCTTACATGCTCAATATCTACCAAAGAATTTTTTCTATGAAATATGATCATCAAAAAGAGGCATATGTCAATGGAACAATCAGGTACTTTAAAATTTGTTTTAAGTTTTTAGGTTAAACTAAGAGCCTACTTTAGGGAAGGTCACTCTATCAAAATAATTATCTTTTTTTATACAATGAAAACTACAGAACCCTAAAGAGAGAAGTAGAAGAAGATCTTAGAAGATGGAAAAATATACCCTGTTCATGGATAGGCAGAACTAACATTATCAAAATGGCAATATTACCAAAAGTTC